TAGGAGAAACAGCGTAGCCATCAAGCTACCTCAAGGATGTTTCCTTTACTCCTGCTCACTCCACTAAATGGTGTGCTCCTGTGCAGTGGTAGAAAAGAGCTCATCCTCACACATGTGCTTAATTCCTATCAGCTTCAACAGTACTTGGTCACCTGCCTGAGGTTGAATTCAGTATGTGCTCAGAGGTTTTGCATGTCTGGTACCAAGGCCCTCCCTCATAAAATCCATAACTATTCAGTCTTGCATGTTCAGCCTTTTTCCCAGATGCTTGAATGTCATCAAAGGCAGTAAGATTTAGATCACTTGTGTAATTGCTGAAGTGGATTTTGAAATCTATAAAAGTTCTGCTGAATCTGGACCTGCCTGATTAAAAAAACATAAACATTTAGCAAAAAGAATAGGAAGGTTATTTGTAAGTACATTTCTTTTCTTCTTTTTTTTTTTTTTTGTACAGCAGCAGTTAAAAAGATTAAATATAAAACTGTTAGTTCCACATTAAACAATGATAAGAGATTTTGGTTACAAAAATAATAATTTCTAATTCTACAGGTGTAAGGAGAACTGGATGATAAGGCCAGCAGTGAAAACAAAAGGGATAATGTGAGGGGGTTTCTGCCTTTGCAGTTGTGTGAATTAATAGGAAATTAAAGACTATTAGAAAGTTGATTGAATTTTGTTTTTTAACTTCTTCATTTTTCATTAAGGTGATCCTAAAAACAGGTGGCTTTCAATTAGTTTTGTTGACAGTGCTGGCTAAACTTGTAATGATCCTTGGGAGAGTGAAAGAAAAGAGATTTATTGCAGTAGGGATAAGCTAGGCCAGGCAGAGACAGAGTACATAACCACTAATTAACTCATGTAGTCATTAAAAAAAAAAAAAAAAAAGGAGGAAGAAAAAACAATGTGCAACCTGAAAGAGGATTGTAAAGCATCTCTGCACTGCAGATCAGACCCTTGAGCTTTCATTACACTCTGCATATCATATTAGATGGTATATATGAGCCAATTGCATATAAATCACATTCTCCCAATGTTGCAAGTCCTTGTCACAGAGCATATTTAATTTAACATTGTAATATTTATTTTCTAAAGTTCTAAGTAGGCCAAAACATACCCAGTAAATTGAGTGTTCTGCCACAGCACAGTGCCTGACCTACACTCCAGTAGAAAATTAACCCTAATTCATCTTAGTAGTGACCCTATGCCAAACAGCTCTTCCAGATGCTCCATTCCTGCCCTTCACTGACTTTGTAAAGTGAAGCTGTAGCGATTTTGACTAATTCAGTTTGGACTTTTAATTACATCTATTCCATTCATTTGTTTCCACTTAAAACCATCGTGTTGTGGTTGGGTGGCTTGTAAGCAAGCTTTGCTTGGTATTAGTATCCTTTAGGGACAGGCTTAAGCCAGAAGGCGTGTACGTCTGTTGAAACCATGTCAAATGGGAAATGCTATCTCAGATTTGAACTACAAGGCTTTGTTTTCTGACACAAAGGGTCAAAGTCTGCCTAGTTATTTCCATGTGTCCCTCCCCCCTCTCACTCCCATCAGGATTATTTTAAATTCACATTATGGATGAACGTTTGTGTGCATATGCACAATTCACTGGAAAACAGAGACTCTTTATTGTTCAAAGCTTCTCTAGAAGTGACTTGTTTCAGGCATTCCTCTCACAACCATTCGCACATCTCTAAAAACCACAGAGATTTCAGTCAATCTGCTAACAAAGTCTGTTTTCAGACGCCATGTGGAGAAACCTGAAATGCTTCAAGCATTTTTATTATCTGATTTTTTCCTTATTGTTGATAAGAATTAGTAGAAATTGATTAAGAACATTTGTGCTTATTCTGCTGCTATTTGAGGGATTAATACTATGTTTTGGAGTACATCACACATTAATACTGTGTTTTGTAGTGCATCACGATCAAACTGGATTTCTGCTCCTCCCAAGATTAACAGAGATTGTGTCTGATTTCTGTAATGTTTTCTACATGTGTAGAGCAGGGCATATTTGGACTGCAGCGAGGGTGCAAAGTGAGAAGGCTGCAGAGAAGACACCAAGATAAGAAAATCTGAGTCTTCCCACTGACCTCTTGCCAGGCACAAATGAAAATGTCTCATGACAAAATCTGCCAAATTTCATGTATCTTGTGAATGCAAATTATTGCTAAGTTAGAGTGTCAAAGGAAAAGATTAAGTTTATTTAAATAATACTTTTTTTAAAACCCTGGATTTATCAAAGTCAGGTAATGACTGGTTTAGACATTACAGGCACACAAGTAAAGCTTTGCTGTCATTTCTTAGCTCTAGTACAACTCTGCTTATGAAGAAAAACTGGACCATATGGGAGCATATGGAAAAAACAGAAGGTTTGTATTTGTGGGAAAGTACCTCCTACAGGTGGCATTGTAATTAACCTTGTGGGTCCCGAGTACACGCGTCACTAAAGTCTGCACAGGTGCCGTGTCCCTGCGTGGGACAGGAGCACGGTTCCCGTGCCAGGACCATCAGGAGTTACCTGGCCCTCAGGCCACCCTTCCCCACCATGGATCTGCTGACAGCCCTGCTGTCCCACATCCCACAGCTCCCAGTGGTGGAGGGTGGCTCCTCAGAGCTGGGGCTGTGCTGTCGGGTATCACTCTGCTCTTCCGCAAACCCCGTGGAGGTAGCGGTTGGGAGGCTGCTTTCTCTCACCCTGTGATTTCCCACACCCCCATCCTGGCACAATCATCCCAGTGCCCAGGGTCTTGCCAGCTGGGAGAGGAGGGGGAAGCTGTGTTGCAGTCTGGTTGGCCTCAATCCTCATAGTCGTCCTGGCTGTTATCAGAGGGCTGGTAGGACATGACATAGTAGCCATTTGGCACCCTCTTTCCCATATTTTGGGCAGTGCTGGGTGTGTCTCTGCAGAAGACACAAGCTTGTGGCCACGTCTCCTCCAGCCTCGTCAGCAGCTGAGACCATGCTGACTGTGCCCTGGACATCTTAGTATAGGGACAGCAAATAAAAATGAGGAGTAGCTGTATGCACAGGGGACATCATGTATATGTGGCTGGGACATCAGCATCTATGTTAGGGGAATAGGTGGAGCAAAAGTGTTCAGGACTGTGAGCTCGAGACAAAACAGGAAAAGGTGGGATGGGATCATGCTTGGGCAAAAGGTTGGATCTATGATTTTTCTCCCAGCATGACTGCCAAATAAATTTCATTAAGAATTACTGAAGAGGGCACAAATTGAAGTGGATTGAGAACTGGCTGAACAGCAGATCCCAGAGGGTTTTAATCACTATTACAGGATCTATTTGGAGGCCTGTCACTAATGGTGTCCCTCAAGGTTGAATACTGGGCCCAGTATTGTTTAAAGTATTCATCAATGACTTGGACGAAGGGGCAGAGGCCTCCTCAGCAAGTTCACTGATGGCACAAAGCTGGAAGGAGTGGCTGATACCCCAGAGGGCTGTGCAGCCCCTCAGAACAACTTCAGTAGGTTGGAGAGATGGGCAGAGGGGAATCTTCCGAAATTCAGCATAGGAAAATGTAGGGTCCTGCATCTGGTGATAAATAAATCCATAGACCAGCACAGGCTGGGGAATGACCTGCTGGAAAGCAGAGAAGAATCTGGGGTGGTGGTTCCTGGTGGACAACAAGCTGTCTATGAACCAGCAGTGTGTCCTTGTGGCCAAGAAGGCCAAAGGTATCCTGGGGTGCATTAGGAAGAGCATTGTTGCCAGGAGGTCAAGGGAGGTGATCCTGCCCCTCTGCTCAGCCCTGGTGAGGCACATCTGGAGTGCTGTGTGCAGTTCTGGGCTCCTCAGTATATGAGAGACAGGGAGCTCCTGGAGCAGGTCCAGTGGAGGGTCACAAAGGTGATTGAGAGATGGGAGCATCTGTCTCATGAGGAAAGGCTGAGGAAATTGTGCTGCTTCAGCCTTGAGAAGAGAGGACTGAGAAGGGAGCTCTTCAATGTCTATAGGTATCTGAAGGCAGGGTGTCAAGGGGACGGAGACAGGCTCTTGGTTTTTCCAAGCAACAGGACAAGAGGCAGTGGGCGGAAACTGTAGCACAGGAAGTTCCACCTAAATAAGAGGAAGAACTTCTCTACTGTGCAGGTGACCACACACTGAACAGATTGCTCAGGGAGGTTGTGGAGTCTCTCTCACTGGAGATTTTCCAGAGTCACTTGGATGCAATCCTGTGCCATGTGCTCTGGGATGACCTTGCTTAAGCAGGGAAGCTGGACCAGATGACCCCCTGTGCATCCCTTCCAGCCTCCAGAATCCATTCTGTGATTCTGTTATTCTGTGAAGTACATCTTAAATAACAAGAACCATCACAGTCAAAATGCCCTCACCTTTGAAAGGATTTGAAGCTTTTGCATAGCTTTAATAAATGCAATTTGCAGAAACAGTGCAATGTTTTAAAATAAATTATGCTCACAGAGTCACATGCTGTGATTTATCTTTAAGCATCCTCATGCAGTGTGGTTTATTAAATTTCAACCTGGGCTCTCAACTGTTCAGTTAATGTAGATAATTAATTTGATTATCATTCAATCAGGCTGTTTTGTGACTGAAACAGTCCCATATTGTTGCTACAAATATTTCAGTTAGCTTGTATGAAGAAATAATTATTTCCTTTTTTTTTTTCTTCCTTATTTTATTTTACTTTTGTCCTCTCTATCTTTCTTTCTGGCAGTGCGTTGTTTTAAAGTACACAGTGTTGGATTACTAATGCCTGCCCTTAATGCTTTAATAGGTTTTTTTGAGCACACAGTACTCATTCTTAGCCACGCATGCATCTTCTAGTCACATTAGGTGACCCTTTTTTCTTTTCTTTTTCTTCATGTGGAAGATAGAGGAGGAGAACTGTGGGCATCCTGTGTGTTACACTGCAGTTCTTAATGAATATATGTGTATTACTTACTAATTGTAAAAGCTTCCTGGCTACAGTACACAGGATGAAAAGTGTTATGCATCAGGAGACTACATTCTATTACACTTCTTGGCTGCAAAATTACATACTAAGTACATTACTTTAAAATTAGAGCAGAATGTAAGTACCTAAATATAGTTGATGTGCACACCCTGTTTACTTCTCGTGACAAAACAAGTCGAGTTTGTTTTTACTAGCGTACATTAGATGTACTCTGTGGTAAAAATTCCACAGAGTTCCAGAGATGGAGGTGGCTTTGTATTGTCACCTCATCAGGCATCCTGCATACCACACATCACAGAGGAGGTCCAGTCTACAGGAGACACAGGGAGATGCTCAGCAAAGAGAGCTGAGTGAGAAGAGGTAGGAACCTCATCTGGTTGGGCCAGATGGCAAAGTTGGGCAAGATTTAGGAGCCATAACTTTGCTTCAGATGTGTCATGTCAGCTTGTCTAATGAAGGATGTTGATTGTGCTCACAAGACTTGTTGTGTGACATCAGCACCGCTCTCTGCTACCATACACTGCACTCTTCTGACGAGTTCCTGCAACAACACTGAAATCCCTCTCTGGGGAGCTTGTTCACATATGTCCGGGTGAGGAAGGCAGAGCAGAAAAACTGTAGAGAGATAAGGCCTTTTTTAAGTGATGGGGTCCTTTTATCCTTCCAGGAGCCACTGCAGACTTTGAATCGAGGGTGTTCAAATAATTTTTTTTTTATCCAGGATAGAAATTCCACCTTGAACTTCTAATAATAGCTTAGCATGGATTGTTGATTTCACTTATGAAAAAGGCCTCTAAATTTGTGTTCAGTCTTGCCTCAAGACTTCAGGAGTATTTCTTCCCAGTTTATGGAGTGCATTGCAGTGGATGCTAGTAAAACCAATTATTTCATGAAAGTGACTGGTAGACTGCAAGGAAAAGAAAGCCCTTTCTCATCTGCCTAAATGAAATAGTTACAGACTTGCCCAGTTCAGACCAGCAGGCAATAGTTGCTGCAGAAGGGCATCAGTAAAAGCCTGCAGCAAATGTGTTCCTTCTTCCTTTGCCTTTCCCTTGCTCTGGAATGAGCACGTCTTAGAAAGGTTATGGGAAAAGACTGTGACTGGAAGTGCAGAGATGTCTCTGACAGCAGACCTCAGTCAAGTTATAATGCCAGGCTTCAAGAATGAAATATTTTATTATAAAGGTAGAATTGAAAACTATCAAAAGTATCTTAGGCATCAGGACTGAATCCAACTTCAATGAGATTAATGTGAGTTTTGGCACTGAATTCCTTTGAAATATTAGGCTCACCAATGCACATAGCAAAGGGTAGACAATATCAGTAGACCTTGGAGAAAAAAAGGAGCTAAGCTACATCTTACACTGCTATTATTTATTATTAAAAGCCATTTCTAAAAGTCTGCTGGGTACTAGGGTACAGAAATGTGTAGAAAGACTCAGCCCATGCAGCAGAGAGCTTGTCCAAAGCAGCAGGTCTTGGTATCTGTGGAAGGCTTTTCCAAAAATGATAAGCTTTTTTTCCCCTTATATTTGACCCAGCCAACAAATAGTCACAGATCTTCTTGTCAGGTTCTGTATGTCACAGCAAAGATGTGGTGTATTCTTCTTCCAAAAGCTCCATATCCCACATAGAGAGTAGAAAAAATGTAGATTTTTTGTTCACTTTTTTTACACTGTTTAGTAAATTTTCTTTAAGAGCCATTCAAGTATTGTGCATTATATTATTTTGCTTTTAATAAAGACATCAGAACTGTTCCTAGTAAGTACCCAGGATCCATTTAAAATAGCACCGCTTTAGAATTGCTGCAGAAGACACAGTCTTGGTCTTGTATCTTCGTTTAGATTTCCATTTCATTGCTATTTTACCGTTGTTATTAAATTCAGATAGCGTTCAGTGTGTGTGTGCTGGAGGAGCAAACAAAAAAAGCAAGGTTGACGTTCCTGTGACTTCAGAGCCTGTGTAGAAGTTGTGTTCAGACAAGGTCTACTGGAAAGAGAAGAGTTAAGGCAGCAGTAGGTCATGGTAATGGTATTGTAATATCAGTAATGTAGCTGTTGATAACATAATGGCTTTGCTCTTGGAGGTAGTTACCTGAGAATAAACTGATTATAGTTATTTGTACATTAATTCAGCATTATTAAATGCCAAAGAGCAACTGGAAGTGAGCCTTCAGGGGTTATCTGACTGTAAACTAGAGCATATCTTAGAGAGCCATTTCTTGTAAAGGCTGTGAAGACAGCTTTTGGGCAACCAAAGGATGTGAAAGCCCAGGCCAGTAAATAAATAAGACCAGTGATGACGCAGACAAAGGAAGTTATTTAAGGAAGCAAGACATTTTCAGATGTTGAGAGCAAAAGATGACCCTTGAACCCAACACATCTCGGGTGCTGGTACTTTTGCCTAATGAAGTATGTTGTTGATAGTGGCCAAAATGATTGATTTCAATGGTGAACCGAACCCCTTACATTACAGGGAGATTTTCAAGAGAAATAGAAGATGTGGATACTTGGTGAAAATCAGCCTTTATACAATCTGCTTGTTACTGCAGAATTAATGGGCATGCACATATCTTGCAAAAGTTACTTTGAAGTACATTGAAAGCCACATGTTTTATTAATCTAATTCTGCTAAGACTACTTTAAACAAAGTTGTAAATGAAATACTAAAATATTTTTTGCTGAGATTATAATTTACCTAAGTAACATTAGTAAGGCAGTAGATAATGGTGACAAATGACTATGGAACATTTTAGGCAGCAGAAATCAGACTTACAAGAATTGAAGTCACTAGGGAACACAAAAGTAAAATAGATTTCCCAACTCTTAAATGCTGAGTTCTATCCCATAGTGAGATGTGAAAGCTCACTGGGGATTTGTTTCATATAACATACAAATGAGAAGTAAGAAGAGATACAGTCAGTAGCATAAAATTTAACAAGTTGTTCCAGAAACAGCACAATTTTAAAAGCCTGGATATCATATAGATAAATCATAAATCATAAATTATATAGATTTGTTTCCTGTTCTTATAGATGCCCATGCCTCCTCTGAAGTAGCCTTATTGCCTCTTTTGTGGCTTCTAGTGTCTCAGCCACCCTGATAACATCTCAAATTTCCCTCCCCATGCCCCATCAGTGTCCAGGCAAAACTAAAGAGTCTTTCAAGGCCTTGGGGATCAGTTTGATGACAAGGTCCAAGACACCCATGTGCTAGTTGGCTGGCCAAATTTCCAGGCTGTCCAGCAGAGGCCAAGGCCAGAACCACAATTAAGAGAGAAGAACTTGCTGTAGATTCTCTCCATGGGATATTCATTTGGCTCTTTCTTCTCTTTGTTGCAGTTTTGTACAATACATATAGGGCCCTGATGACTTCTGTTGCTGTCAACTCTGAATTAAGTCAGCAGAAACAGGCTGAAAGAACTAAGATTGGAACAGGCCAACAGATTTTAAACTAATGACTAGCCAGGACAGACAGGCAGAAAGAGACCTGTCTTAAGGAGCAGGCTGTTAGTGTGTGAGCAGCCAGGGCCCCAGCCTCGAAAGGCTCTGGAGACCCATCAGTCTGTGCTAGGATTGTGTTTGACAATAGAGATGATCCTGGATTATGCAGTCCTGTATAGGCAGTCCAATCCCAGATCTCAGATGGTGAAACCTTTTGAGGGAAAGGTTATTTTCTGTATTTTTGTGGCAGCAATATCCTCAGCACCCCAGGCTGCTGCATGTCCAGAAACCAACTGCTGTTTGCTTGCAGATAAGTTGTCTGTAAATCTGATGTACTGGACTGCATCTGCAGGGAGGTTGTACCTCCCATGGGCAGCATGCCTGCCCAGACCCAGCTCCACAGGCAAGGAAGAGTCATTCCCTTATGTAGTATGCATTTATCCAGGATCTCCGAGACCCACAGTCTGCACTGTCCTTCAGCATTCACGTGGTGGCTCTGCCATAGACTGAGGGATGGCAAAATTATGTCATTTCTTTATGAGCTTGTGCTTTAAATGGTGCAGTCACTGGGAGGGATCGTATTCTCAGATGGAGGAGGGAGCAGAGAGATGTCAACAAAGCAAGAAAAAACCTGCAAATGACTATTCTTCTTTTTTGTTGTAAAATGGAGTGAATTTGGAACCAGACAATTTAAAAATCAATGTGATGCAACTCTTCCACATGCAGTTAAAACTGAGACATAAGCCTGACCCTGTTTTTCAGTAGCACCCTGTCCTCTGGCACTGCCTCTATTCAGTTAAGGACATGCTTAAGAAAATATGCACGTTTCTGCCTTGGTGAATTTAATGGTGCTGAAGTCCATCCCACTGCAGGACAGCAGTTAAGTACCTGCTTAACTTTCAGAAAGTCCCTGTGTACCTGCTGTAATCCACTTCTGGAGCAGATAATCATCTCAAGTACAAAGATATGTCCCTAGAAATGAACATGCCCTGAGCTGTTCAATTCATTACAAGTATTGAGGAGATAGAATTCTTATGTAATTAACAGGCTAATACACTATTTTAAAAAAAATGATTAATAGCTATTGAATAACAATATAACTAATTCTTACCTGCAATTGAAATCTGTGTTGATTAGGTGCTGCTGGAGAAACTTCTTTAATGAAATATGTGCATTGCCAAAACTTGAACAATCTTGTAGTCTCTTATCTCTCTTCCAAAAACCAGCAAAATAAAGCAAAACCCCTCCAATGGGCTCATTTGGTTATGAAATATTGGGGAGGAGGTGCAGGAGGAAGAGAAAAAGAAATTTTTTCTAACCCTTGTAGTTATTTGGCCTGGGGATGAAACCCCAAGTCCCTGACTTGGATTTAATGTTTGTTTAAATAGTAATTGCTTTTATGTCCTAGAAACTGTGCAACCCACCTAATGCCCATAATCCCAAACCAAGAGAACATTTTTTCAGGCTCCTTGCCTTAACCTGTCCCTTTTAGTGACGGTTGCTTTCTTTCTTTTTAGGAACCTGCCTTGCCCCTCAAAAAACAGCCAAATTCCCTCTCCCATAAAATACAGGGCAAAGTCATTAACTTCTGGAGTCAATGACTGAATGAGCCCTTGCTTCAGTGGGGTGAGGCTCACAATGAGCTGCTGAACAAAGCTTTTCCATTTGTGTGCTAAAGTAAAAGAACAGGGTATTCAGCTGACCTAATTACCTGTCCAAATAGGGCAGACCAAGTAGAAAATGAAGACCATGGGTCAGATCTGGATCTGTGTTACGCTGCTGAGAACTTCAGGGTAATCAGTGATGCTACTTCATATTTAAATTTGGCTCTGTGTCCACTTAGTGCATTAGTCCCAGTCTCAGAATCTGTAATGAGCAACCTGCAATTAACTCACTGTGTTTGTTCCATTCTGATTCATCATAACATTTCAAATTATTATTAATGCAAACAGTTACTATGAAATATTTCTTCATTAGTTCTGACTGGTTGACTTTTTGCTTTTTCTCTTTCCCACTGGAAAAAAATAATTATCCAGGAATAATACAATTAAGAATGCTTTTAATCAGTTCCATTAACTTGCTTTGTCTAATCAGTCGCGTGTCCCTCGGTCTCCTTTAAGTTTTATCGGAGGAGCTGCTTCTGCACCGGTGCCTCTTTGAGGACTGTTATGTGAGCTGACTGTCCTCAGCATCCGTGGGGGCAGTGCCATGTAAGGCCTTGACCCTTAATTGGGATGAGTGAGTTAGCTGGACAGTGCTAGCTTCTGAATTGCAGCCAACACTATTAGACAGCCCCAACCTGAGCTGCTTCCCCCTCTTGAAATGCTTCCATCTGGCATCACCAGGCAGTGCCGCTCTGCAAAATGCCACGGCGTTACAAACCTGGCTCGTGATGGGCAGGAGCAGCCACCTGGAAAGACAAAGGGCTGTCCCTCTCCTTCACCTTCCTTATGTAGGGACTTGCCAGGGCAGAGAAGGATTTCAATGGAGGTGGGGGAAGTTCTGTTACTGCATTGGGCACAAAGCCCTAATAGGGGCTTTCTAGAACAGGACTGCAAATTCAAATTAAGTTGATAGCATGAAATCATTGTATTGCAACATCTATTTGGAGAGTGCAGGCTCCAGCTAACTTTAACTTGGTTAGTTTTGATTTTATTGTTTTCCTCCCCTCTCCCCTTCTCCTTTTGCCTTTTCCCTTTCCCCATCCCTGTCCTCCCTTTCTCTTATATTTTCCTTTTATTCCCCTGTAAGTCAAATCAAATGTTCAGTACATCCATATGGGTAACTAAATTGTTAGAGACTGATAGAATGCAAAAAGCCTTTTACTTAATAGCCATGGGTTCAAGTGCAGACTACACAAAAGTCAGAAAATTGTGATAGCCTTTGTGTATTGTATTTTGCCATTATTTTTTTCATTAGTGAACATTTAACTGGTGAAATCTATTGGGCAAGATAGTTTCTCAGTCACTGTGAGGATAAAGGGTGCTGGCAGGACCACTTAGATCAGCACAACAATCTTCTATAGAGTCATGGAAAGCTTCAGTCTCTAGGACAAAATCCACTTGCCATCTTCTCAGTGGTCCTGGCTTCTCATCAGTCCAAAAGAAAAAGGTCTGAAGGAAAGGCATGACTCATTCTCTGTGATTTGGGAGAGTGATGTGTGAAAGGACAAAAGCAGGAATGAGATTTGTTGGATGCCATGTCATGCCACCATATGGGAAGATTTGCTCTGGAGAGCATTCAGTAATTTTCAGACTAATTCTAGGGTGACAGGCATAGAGTAGGAAGTATTGTCTTCATATGTAGGCAAAGTCATTTTATTGCTGCTTTTCTGGGCTCCAAGGTTTTAAAATTGGTATTATTTGAATACCAACAAAACTAGGATGATTTCCAGGAATTGAAGCTCTGTTATAGAATTGCAGAACCACAAAATAGGTAATACTGGAAGCAAACACCTGAGGTCATCTAGTCCAACCTCCCTGTCTCTTACCTATGAAATTTCTAAGTGGGGCAAAATCCTAGTTAATATTAGAAAAAAATATGGAAGGGTTGTGTTTTGAACCTATGCTGCTCCTTGAAAGCTTAGAGGCCAAGTTTTTTCCTCAAAAAACTGAGCTAAACAAGGCTGCTTCACATTTATACTATTACTGGTTTATTTCCTTGTACTTTAGTTCCTTCGCCCCTCTTGTTAGTTAAGACAGACCTCTCCTGCTAGGAAAATGGGGGACTGAAAAGTCAGCCATGGCTTCCCAAACAGGTCCCCAAAACAACATAGAAGCTTGATGGAAGGCTTTCAAGGAGGAAGATGTAAGAATCAATTGTATGACTAAAATCAAATTCATTCAGGCTTTACTTCTGAGAAAAAAAAGTGTCCAAAAGTGTAATCTTTCTCCATTACAGTAGTAGATGGGACATTTTTAATCACAATGACATATTATGATGAGAAACTTGTAACTGAAGGCTTGCTGCAGCCAAGCTAAAAATGTAGTTTACTTAAGAAATTGCCAGCGGATACAAAACTAGAAGTAAGCAGCAACATTCTCAGCCAAGGCAAGTTAGCCTTCATGGTACCTCAACATGAGAATACCTGCTCTGCCTCAGTGCTGTTGTGGCCTGGGGCAGAGGCAAAGACATGTAACAGAGGTAAATCCTTGATTATGGATGGCATGGGAGATGACTGAAATACCTGGGTGTGATGAAACCACCAGCATTAATGCTTGGGCTTTTCTCTCATAAAGCTTTGGCTTTCCTTTCAAACCACCTCTGGTTTTTAACTCCAGAAAGAATTCTTAACATCAAAGTGTTCTGATATGCCTTATGGTAAACTCTATTGAAGACCAGATAAGCTGAACAAAGATCAGCCTGCTGCTATGGTCTCTTGGCTCTCTTTAATTATATCCAGTGCTTTGCTGTTTCCTTCCTTAATTTTTGTCTTCAGTAGCTTTAGCTTATTCATTTCTAGCCCAAGACTTGATCTTCTCCATCTTCTCTTTGGCTCTTGCTTTTTCTTTTCTCTTCTCTTTGCTTCAGGCCTGACTAGTTTGGTCTTTGAATGTTTTGTTTAACACTTCACTCCTGAAGGCATATTTTCCATGCACTGGGATGCAGTGCAGGCTGGGGATGGTGATTTCACAGTGTTTACCACTCTCTGCTTCCTATCCCCAGGTCCTCCATCACTGCTGCTCCCCATTCTGCCTGCCTGCAGGCTGTGCTCAGTGTCCCACTACTTCCTTTTGCCATCCCGTGGCACTTTTCCCCAGTGGAAGGGCTCATAAGCAGCCTTCCTGCCACCTGCCACAGTGGAGGTGACTGCCTTTCCTCTTGGAAGCCTTGGTGCTGCACAAAGCTCCCTGAAAGCAGCCTCTCAACCCCAGCCTTGCTCATTTGCTATGGAAGGCAGTACATCCATGTTCAGGGCAGGGAAGAGGGAGAGGGATTATGAGACCCATTAACCCCAATGTCTATGGAAAGATAACTTCTGCTCCTTTAATTTTTCAATTTAAATTGTTTTTTTTTCCATAGCAATGTTAATGGTTTGGTTTTTTTCTCACCACTCCTGCAGAGACAGTCCCCTCTCCTATTTTGTCTCTGTGGGATCTGTTCCTCCCTGCTGTCACAGCTTTTTCTTTCTGGCTTTCAGCCCAGTTTCTCCACAAAAGGCACCTGTAAAAGATTTTTTTTCTTTTAAATTACTTTAACTTTCTTTAACCTGCTCGTTTGGGTTTTTTCTCTGTTCCTTCTCTGATATAGAACTTTTCTTTATGCAGCCACTCTCTTAACATGTTTTCACTCTTTGGTTATCTTTTATTCTTGTAGCAGGCAGAAAACAGCCTGCAGCTTAAATTGAAATGCAACTCCACTCCTTCCAGGCACGTGATTTATGTAGTTTGAAGACCACCTCAGCCATGCTAAATGCTACAGAATATAGGAGCTTAGAGAAACAGAGCAGCTTTGCTGGCAGTAAAGGTTCTGTTAATAACCTGAAAATGACACAGAAATAAAAGGTAGATTTCAGAGCAAGACTCTCTACTCCTCTGCACTTCTGTGTAGCACATGATATCAGAAATAAAACCAGTTTTGAGTACTTTCTCTTTACAGAAACTTTGTAGTAATTTATATGTCTGCCCAAAGCTGAGGGCATCGGAAAATCAGGCAAGACCACTTTTAGCATCACTCTAAGGAGAAGGTATACCTGCTTACAGGTGTACCTTCTTCTTAACCTCTGCACTTTCATAGATTTTCCCCTTGAACATCCAGGAATCTCTGCTAGGACCATAATTTCCAATTCCTGTGAATGTCCTTCCACTGCCCTTGGTTCTTTCAACATCCTTCTCTAAATTCTCCTGTCAAGTGGTCATAGACGGTCTTGCTAATTTCTGTAATGCAGTGAGCATCTGAAGGGAAAATTGCCTGTTCTTAGTGCAAAAATAATTAACCTCTTAATTGCATCTCTCATTCAGGGGAAAAGGCTTCCTACTCTTGCTCTTTTTTTTTTTTTTTTGTCCCCAACTTTCTTTCTTCCCTTTTTAGGAGTGTCCTTTATTATAAGACTGACTCATATCAGCAATGTAATTCCTCCAGCAAACTCATTCTGCTAATTTCAATAGTCTGCTGGTGCTGTTTTATTCTTGTCATGTCGGATGCAGTAATCCAGTTTGCATTCACGATTAGATTAGGAAAGACATGAAATACCTGCATTTGCAAAATTAGTGTGGATATTTACCAGTTGGCAGCTTGTTCTCTTACTTCCTCCCCACCTCACTGCTGGAAGCCTTTAATCCACTACTCAGATGCATAAGTTAATGCCTTGCTGTGAATCAAGAAAATGTCTTTCTGCATTGTTAATTTCTGTGGCATGATCTCGCCTCATGTTGTCTTCATAGGTACATGCCATGGCACAACCCGATGAGATGTAACCTGTACTCTAACAGGCAGCAGGTAGTCAGTACGCTGACGATGCCTCCCAGCAGCCTGCCTTAAGAGAGCTTTGTAAGAGAGAAAATAAAAAGGAAAAAAGGTTTTTCTGTTGGCTCACCTAGCTCCTATGGAGAGGTACATAAAACCAACACTCTATGGTGAGATATGGTTCATTAAGAGCCTGATAGTCCCCATGGAAAATAATTGTCAGGGACTGTTTTTATTTTGTTCTCCATTTCTGTGTGTTCCCAGGACCTGCAGGGCAGTGAACACACAGGGAGTGCAGAGAAACGTCTGAGCCTACAGCAGCCAAGAGCCTGTTTCCAGTCCAGCATTAACTGGGTGCTGGACACAATGATTTGGAGGCTCAGAGGCTCCATCAAGTCAGCACTCAGACTCCACCTGGGTTTAAACTGACCCTTTTCCCTTTTCACATAAACACAGCTCCCTGAACCTTGTTGCCTGTGTGTCATCCCTCCACTGAAACCCTAAAGACAAAAGTTCACCTGAGTCCACAAGTTGGATTTTTTTTTAATATTAAAAACTTTCCTGGACTTTTGTAGGAACATTCACACAGAAATGAGTGTGCCTAGCCATTAAACTTCACTATATAATGGGAGCTAATCCATACAGTTTAATGGCTTGCTTGGTTCCCCCCACCACAATCTCTCATTGCTCCAGTCTCTAAAACTCTCCCAGCTCCAATTCAGGTCTCCTTCAGCCTGCTTTTCCCTGGACAGACAGGAGTCCCAAAGCAAGAGCAAGGACTGGCATGCTGCACATCCAGAGCTCAGCTTGCGTCACATCCAAACCTCAGTTTTGTTTGCAGCCAGCAAAGGATGAATAGATGGGCCACTCATCATTAGCCAAGGGCTGCTGAGATGTTTGTTCTTCAGTACCAGCCAGGAGCATGTCTTTCCATCACAATAAGTCCCTTGTGGGAAGACACTGCTGGTAACTCTTCTGATCTGCTGGGGTGCTAGTCTGAGCCCCTTGCTGTATTATTGTGATGTCACCTCAGAGTTACAAACCTGTACAATATTCTGCCAAGGAAATGTTTTTTCCAAATATGCTGAAAGCTGCCAACTAGCTGTTTGTGCAGCTTGGTAAATGCTAGGTAATTTTCTTCTTAGAAAAGTGGGAAGAGAGTAGGGGAAAACAATAACGAAAAATAATTTACAATTCCCCAGAAATTACCTAGAATCATCCCTTAGGAAGAGCATCAACAGAAGCATCAGGGGATGCTCCTCCTGCCTGCAAAGCTGTTCACATACCATCACTTCCCCGTGATGTTTCCACCCTCTGCCCCAACCTCTGCAGCCTCTCCCTCTGCTCACTCGTTCCCTTCGTCCCTAGTCATGTCTCTCCCTGCAGGCAGGCTGCACTTTCCAAGGAGCAGGCTGCTCCTCTCTGACTGCCAGGAGCTGCCTCTCTAACATCTTGGCCCTGCTGCCACCCCAAAGCAGCCAGCCAGAGAGATGTGCTTCCAGCCTGCTAGTGGCTGGATGGGCACAGGAGTGGGCAGGCAGACTGCCAGATCATCTCAGGGGAGCAGCGGGTAGAACAGCCTTTCCTGGGGGCAGGCTTTTCCCAGCTGAGGATTCATCCGGCCAGATCGAGGCTGGCCAGTATTTCCCAAGGTGAAAGCTGCAGTGCCTTGAGCAGCCAGGAAGTCAGACACTAAAATCAGCATCTGTGCCTCCTGCCTGGTGCATGCCGGCACAGAGCACAGAAAGGCTGTTTTCCTCCCCATGGTGTCCCTGCCAGGGAGCGAGAGCCAGGTGGGAGCTGGTGTAAGGTGTGGACACGAGGGCTGCAGCCTTACAAGTCACCTCTGTCTCAAATCATCTTTGCCCAACTTGGGGGAGCAGGGTGCTGGTGGGGTGAGCCTGGGCACCCAGGGCTGTCTTTGGTCGAAGGGAGCAAAGCAGCCAGAGTGCAGCTGCCTTTGGCATGGGCAGTGCACCTGTTCTTTCCCCAAATTCCTACCAACAGGGCACCGTTTGCCTCTGGGCTTCCAAAAGTGCTTTGGGTCACCCCACAAGGTCATCCTCATGTGAACTACCACCCCACAGGATGACAATTGCCAGGTCATCCTGGAGTGAAAAGATCTGGAAGATGAATCCAGCCAAAGCTGTGGCTGAGCAGAGAGGGTGAGTGAGTGAGAAAGTTTAAGCAAAACCAAAAATTAAAGCCTTTCTCAATTTTCATACAACTGTGTTGACATATGAAAGCTAAGCGACAGTTTTTTTAAAGCGACTCTGTTACCTATTAAATTGCAAAAGACCAAGTCCTTTGGTATTCATGAAGAAGAATTCATTAATTCCATAACAGTTAACTTTAAAAATGCAGCAACATGCTGAATGCTGATTACTGAGCCATGTAAAAAAGGGCAGAAAAAAAAATAAATCAGAGCAATATTTTATTTTGTTGTTTTGTTTTCATTTCAGGTTGATTGTATTACTTGAGCAGATGCAGTGCTAACCACTGTAACCCTAAACTGGTCGCAGAAATGGCATTTCTCTGGGCCCAAAGTCCCCATCTCTCCCTGCAGCTTGCCCACAGCACTGCAAAAGAGCACACTTGGTTGTCAAGTAAGGCTTGCAAGAGCTAAGGATAGGGAAAAAAAAAAAGAGGTAGGAGTGGGAGCACCAAGCACCAAGTTAAAGTATGCGTTTGTAATGTAACAGTGGTGGTGTGCTGGATTATTCACGCTTCTGCTCCACAACTTGAAATTGAGGGTGGTAAAAACAAGATGTTCAAAACCCATCTAGATGATTTCTCAGGGGCTGCTGTATAAATGCGATAACCATCACCAGTGAGAATAAAGCAAACAGCAGGAAAAAAAGTAAGCAGCCTGGTCTTTGGTGAATTCACTCTGAGTCTTATATGTCAGGAACCATTGTACTTATCATCTGAAATTCGACTCCCAGCCCTATCCTGGCTCTCCATCAGCCCTCGGTCTGCAGTGAGCAAACTTCTTCTGAAGGATTGTCGGTTTGTAGCCAGCGCAGGCAGCGTGTCTCTGTCAGGAACAGTAATGCATGTCGACAAGTGCACATTAATTTTAGATTATTCATCCTGACAAGGCTGTTGATTTGGAGGTTTGCTGCAACTGTTGGTTTAAACAGGCACAGAAGGAAGCTGGAGGCATGAACAAAACCCAAAAGGGGACTTCTGGGAGGGGAGCTAATATCCTGATGAAAAGTCTTCCTAAATTTGTCTAGAGCTTTGAGCTTGGAAAGCTAAAGTGAAATAGAGATGTATTTCAAGGCCTAGCAGCACAGGAGAGGTAACCATGGCAATTTAACCTATTCAGTCTGAGATAGGAAGAAGCAGGATCAAGTTCCTTCACTCCTTTTATGCAGAAAATGCTTCACATGCGCTAAAGGATGAAGGAAAAGTTGTCAGTGAATGAAGGAAATTAAAGAAAATTCATGCAGAAGGAGGCTGTCTTGTGCTCCAGAGCTGCTCCAAGAGAGCCAGTCCTCACAGCTAGGGCTGACAAAAATGCTGCATCAGATTTGACCCCCAATAAAGTTAATGATAACACCCCCCACCCCAGAAAGAATAAAGGATATTGTTTTACGTCACCAAGATGAGCTCTGCTTGGGACTTCTCTCACAGAAGCACATGGAGAGATGCAGGTCACCAGCATGTGCTTCAGAAGGGACTTTGTCTCAGAAAGAAACAGTAGAGTGCACTGGAGGAGTTTTCTTCAGTGTGTGCAAAGCATCTGCATCTGCTCTCTGTGGTGCAAAACAGGTGTAGTTGTCCCTGTGCTCCTGTGCACCAAGGGCCATGCAGCCCTTCCATGAGCTGCTCTCGTGTCAAGTGATGCAAATATATTCGTAAGACTTTGGGGAATGACTTCATGGATCATCCATTTTCATGGATCACAGGTCATTTAAACAAAAAAAGACTAATAATAAGCAGTTGATAAAATTATTGAGGTCCTGCTCTCACTCTTTAAAATTAGAAAATCTCTCTGTGACTCTAAACCAAATAAAAATAAGTGAACTCCCGTCAGGCTATTCAAGGGACATGTAATATGTCACAGAGTAAAACTATGCCATTCCTATGACCAAGAGGAGAATCTATAGTAAAGTGAAGATGAACAGTAGTGAAAAATACTCTTCATCCAGGTCCTAATATTTGTTATTTAAAATTTTCAGACAAATACCTAAAATACAGATAGGAGTGATAGGATGGGTGTGTCCTGCTCTTAGTGAGGAGTTCCACAGCTGTGGGGCAGAAGGCTGATTCTATACCTCCTACTGTCAAACATCATTGTTTTATTTTCTCTAAAGACTTCATTTTTGATGTGCATTGCAAAAGTACAGGGAGCACTTCCTTAGCATTATCTTTCAATAATCACAGCTAAATGGTCTTCAAATTCACGTTGTCAGACAATAGTTCTTGTCATGCATAAACTTTTGTGTTATTAGAATAAAATTCTGGTAAAAAATAACTTCTTGGAGATTTCCACACAGAGAGTGTAAGGAACTAAAACTGCCATTGTCTTTGAACTTGAACAGCAAGCTGACTCCATCCCAGAGGTCCTTCTCCACAAGGAATGATTTAGACTGTTAATATTTGCAGTAACAATTATTTTGGTGAATATGGACCTAAGCATTCCAGATATGAAAGTCCAAAGACCCTTGGTTCACTCCTCCTTACAAAAATGCTGTCTTCTTGTACCTAGGGCAGGGAGTGATGTGGTGGTGGTATATGGGCTTTGCCACTGAGGTTAGTAGAAGTCAGCACTGTGAAGTCTAGCAGAAATGACAAACGGGTCTCAAGAGACCTGGTGAGCACCAAAACTTGCCACATTAAGGGTTTAGTGTTATTAACTCATGCTTACAGGGTGTTTTCTAGCGACTGTTGCTCCCTGTTGAGCATACTCCTTTTCCAGAACATCTGCCTAAGCTCTGCTCTTCTCTGCAGCAGGAGCAGCACTGGGGCAGTTTCAGAGGTGAAATGGTTAAGCAATAGTCATCTCCCTCTGGCTGAGGAATTAACATTGGAGGCAGAATGTAAAGAGCAGCATGCAGAGCAAGGTGGGTGCAGCTTTCCCAATGGAGGATGAGCAGCCCAAGTGAGTAATTGACTAAATAGCATGAAATCTGGAAATATTCAGTCATCTGAATTCAGGTGAAAAATGTGGGCTGAGCTACTGAACCTGCTGCTGCTTCTAGCAGCAGTGCTCAGCTGGCAAGCCATAAGACACATTCCCTCCTGCCAGTCTTACCAGCCTCCTGCAGCTGGATGGGGCCAAGGCAGGGGGTCCTAATTCAACCTGACTTCTTAACTAAGGAAATTGCTTATGGTAGCATGTAAGTTTTGGTGGGTTTTGTTAGTATTTTTTGCCTGGGCACATTTTCCCCACTGCCATTGTTTTCCTTTACTTGGAAAGCAGGGTGCAAAGCACAGGGAATTTCCCCTCAGTCTGCAGCAGGTTGAAGAGAGGTTGATTTGGTGTGTTTGATTACATGAAGAAAGCCCCATAT